GAGCTATTTGAATTTCTGAGATTTATTGCAGAAGAGAGGGCACAGCTGGAAGCAAGGAAAAGGCAGAGCAGTTTAGGTGGGGAAATGCCAGGGTTGTGAAGGGCATTTTTTAGATGAGGCTGAGTGGAAAAGCTGTGCTTGTGTCAAATTCCTATAGCAGCACCTCAGGACAGTTAAAGACATTGCCAGTGGCTTGTTTATATTCCTGTTCTGTTGTTTGGCTCCATGGTAGTTGTTTTGCAACTTGCTTGGACCTGTTTAATTTTGTTATTTTTTATGTCCTTGCAATGAACGTTTTGAATCAATCTGCCTGACAGATTTTTGAATCAATTTTGAATCAGATTTTGAATCAATTAGTCTGATACTAAATGCTGAAACGGTTAAAGATGATTTTCCTTGCTGTGCTCTGTATGTTCAATGCATACGTGGACTGACTTAAAAGCCATCAGCATGCTACATGATAGGAAAAATAATTATCTGCAGCACTGCTGCTCACAGCTGAATTTTTCTGCCAGTTATGCAGTGAATGCCCCAAACAAAGGTGGGTGTGCTGATGCAGTTTTGCTTGCTGGCTATTGTGCCAGCTGTGGGGGTGAAACACAAACCTCTGGACACCCCTTGGGCTGTGTTCTCTTGAACAGTGCATTTGGAGCTGCATTCTTGCCAGTGTGTTCAGGCAGTACCTCTGGAGATGGGAACCTGCTCCTGAGATGCTCTTGGAGCATCCAAGTGGACACAAGTGGTCTTGCTAAGAGCTGAAGGGGTTAATCTCCTTGAAGGTCAGAGATACACATTTCAGTGGCAAAACCTTACCCACAGTGCTCATTTTGAGGAAAACTGCCACACTGAATGTATTGGTGTCTGCTGTGTGACGTGTTCCTATCCGGGGACTTGGGCAGAGGTTGCAGGAGAGAACTTTTCCTATTCTTCCTGAATCTTGCTTTGTTTTCACCGTATCTGCCTGTGGGGTTTTTTAATAGCTGCTGAAAGAAATGGTGGCTGTGGGTTGCCATTAGCACTAAGATTAGAGTAAGGATTCCATGACATCTCTTGGGTAGGAACCTTTGAAAGCACTTAGAGGTCTTATTCCCAAAAGTTCACAACACTTGAGTTTGGGAATAGGCTTTTATGTGTTGTTGGGAAGGCAGAAAAAGTGCTTGGTTTTTGTTGATTTTGCTTACTTCTTATCAAGTTGTATGGCATCATCCTTTGAAAGATTTAAGGAATAAAAAGTTAATAAGAACTTAATAAGTTAATAATAGAAAAAAAACCCTGAAATTGTGACCAAATGGAGGGCAGTCTTTGCTTAAATGTCCTGATTTGGGAGTGTCTGTCCTGGCAGGAATCAGTAGGTACAGAAATCTGACATTTTCATGTGTTTGCAGCTTCTTTGATGTCAACTGAAGAAGTGTGGGTGACCTTGAACTGGCACTTAATTGTTTCTTTGAGAGTTGGACAAAATAATCAAGTAATAGATATTGTTGGCTGTTCCTGAGAGCTTTTGTTTGTTATAGTAATAGATTGGACACATTACAAGATTTGAGAGTTTCATTTAATTGAACTTTCTACTCTTTGCTTCAGTAAAAGGGTGTTTCTGAAAACAGGACCTAGTGCAGCACTAGTACTGAGTACTTGTGTCAAAATAGAGTTTCTATGTTATATACTTAAAATTGAAAATATTAATCTTAACTGCCTTTCTAATTTACATAGAATTTTTATTATTTAATAAGAACACATCTTGTAAAATCATTAATGTTCAAAAAGGGTTTTGCTAGAGTTCCCAGCTTTCTATGATGTTCTTATTAACATTTCATTTATTAAAATTCTCTAACTATAACATGTGATTTTTGCTGTAAAATGTGATCATGATGCACTCTAGTCCATAGAAAAGCAGAAGCCTTGCAGTTGGTAGCAGTACTGTTCTTGCTTATGATCTTCCTGGTACAATTCTACAGAAAGTGAATTATATCAAACAAGACAAGGTTCTCATGCAGAGAGGCACAGGATCTGTGGCATCTTTTGTATAATCCATTCCATGATAGATAGATGCTCCCAACTACAAAACAGAAACATCAATCATCTGTTATCACATGCTGTGTCTTCTCTGCCCAACAGATGTTTTGGGTATTTTTCTGGAATGGATTTACTCCTAGCCCTTTATTGTTCTGTAAATAGTTTACCTGAACTTTTAAGAAGTAAATTGAGTGCAGTTGTAATAAATGCCTCTCTGTTCACTTCCCCAGATTTAGCCTGGGTTTCACCCAGATTAACTTGTCTTGTATGTAAGTTTTCTGAAGAGCCCGAAGATGCAAAAACTCTGCCACTGTTAAACAACTCGGTGAAAAATGATAATGCTCACATTACAGAGATGGAACAAAAATCACTTTGTGCTAGTCAAGAATACCCAGAGGCTTTTCTGTGCGCTGAGTTTTGTTACCCAATGCTCATATTACAGATGACTTCCCACACTGCAATCAGTAAGTGCTCTAAAAAGGGTATTCTTGGGCTTTAGGTGTCCAGGTAATGAGCAGAGTTTGAGCAGACCTGTAAAGCAAACTGAAGGATCAGAACACCTGAACCCTGGCCAGCTGCCGAGATCGGCTTTAGTTAATGTGGTTCTGCAAAGCCTGCAGAGTGTGGAAGGGGGGGAGGCTGTATTTAAACCAGCAAGGGAGAAGCTCAGGTCCTTCCTTGACTGCTGGCAGGGTCCCTGCTCAAAGGTGTAAGCAAGGCCCTCCTAAGACTGTGAAGACAGCAGGAAGGTGATTGTCATCAGATTTATGTAGAGTAGGGAAGTGGCCAGGGCATTCTGCAGGGGATTTTTGAGTTGTAGGACAGATACTAAGGAGCTCCAATGAGCATGGTGCTCTGGTGATTTTGCATCAGGCCTATGAGACAGAGCTTGCACAAATTGATAAGTCTTCTCCATGTGCAAATTAAGGGATGCAGCTTTTAAGTATTTCCAACAAGCTTTGGATACTAATTGAAGCACAACAACAGTTATATAGCTATGCAAAGTAAATCTACAAAGTTTTTAATAAGAATTTGATAGACACTTGTAGGGTGCTGCCTGGGTTTTTACCCACATTGCTTATCAGTGTTGCCAATGATCTAATTCTTGCTTTCAGAATTTTAGATTTTATTTCAGAGTCAGGAGAGAATGAGATCTAATATTTATGTTGTTAGCATGTGTGGTCTATTGACTATGCAACATTTTAGACTTGTGTTCAAACATGATTTTAGATTTTTTAATTCCTTAAGTATCAAGCTAGCTTTTGCTTAATGCTTTAAATATTATTCTGAAATTATTAGCCTTCCCTGAATGGATTTGATGCTGCAGGACAGATACAGACAACAACAGCAAGATAATAACTATAAAGATAAGGAACAAATTTGAATTAGACTCGGTATTTTACTCCTTAGCAGTCTGGTGCTCTGCAGGAACAAATGTTGAAATTGGCAGCAGCACGGTGCACCCACAGCAGAGACTTCAGAGAGCAAACTATTCACAAGAGTCATTACTGAATGCTGATAGGCTTTCCCATAGAAAAAGAAAGCTTGCAATGGTTTCTGCACCTGCAAGGAGTTTCCTAGCAACACCGCTGAGGAAACTGTATGCCAGGATTTTCTTTTCAGAGTTCTTTTTGTTGAATATAGCAGCAGTTGTAAAACAAAGGTCAAGAGCAACTTCAGCTCTTCAAAGCAATGTTGTGTATTACATTTACTCAGAGAAGTGTTTGTGTTGTAGCTCTCTGGCTAGAGGATAAATATTGGGTTACAGTGTCATCCAATAGACAACTGCAGTTTAGTTAAACGTGAACGTAGCTTAATCTAAAATGTCACTTTTTACTTGTGGGAGAATTCCTGTTAGTGTTTAACACCGGGTTACGGCTTGTGGGGGAACCAGGAGACCCTGCTGCCTGCCCTGGGCACAGCCAGGAACTTTCTGTGCAGCACGGAGCAGGGGAGCACAGAACATCACCTGCTCATGGGAAAAGACCATTAGTCTAACTAAAAAAAGGAAGAAAGGTGAGGGTCTTTGGTTTTTTGTTTTGTCTGAGAAGGTGTATGCTGTCATTGTCTCACTGTGTGCACAGACCTCAGGTGAGTCCCTGCTTTGTGCCTTGCCATCAACAGCTTTAGGGAAAAATACTTATTTCAACTACATCATAAACAGGTACAGTATCAGAAGTAGGTGCTGGGCTTGTCCTAGCCCACCTTGGGGTGAGGTCAGACTCGATCTGTGTTTTATGGATGGGGGATGTGTTTTATGAGGTGAAGGACTAAGACACTTTTCAGCCCTCTGGGCTGGAGTTGCAGAGTTACTGGGGAAGATGGGCCCCACTGTTGGCCCCTCCAAACTTCTGCTTTTATCATGCACAACAAGAACAATGTTTTTGTCTCTTACCGGGACAGATAGTGAGGTAGCCTAAAAAATGCATCCAGTTGTAATATGAGTTTTTTGCTCTGTACCCAGTATACTAAATAATCTCTAGTTCTAGAACCCAGTCTAAAAGTGGCATTATACCATTTCTATTCAATTTTAAGTGCTAGACAAGGAACAAAGCCTGTTACTTGTATTTTTTTCCCTTGTGTTCTGACTTGGTGAAGACATTTTGTACTTAGATCGTTAGATGCTGACCCCATTAGAAATCTCTGCTTGGAGAAATATAGGTTCTGCATGGTTTAACATGTAAGCAGCCTTCTAAAAAAATCAGAAATAATTCTCTCTCTCAACTCCCTGTTTATTAATCTAAATGATGGCTTTGGCTGAAATTTTATACCAAACAGACTAACGTGCTTAAGGCAACCTTCTATTTCCTTCATTACAAAGGCTCTTGACAAGTGCTAGCACCACTTCCCTCCTCTCAGAAATATTTCCGAGTGATTTGCCAAAGAAAATTAACTGAGGATAAGGGAAGTTTTCAGCGGAAATTTTTCGCAGCTAATAGAAAAAATGAAACGCTATTCCACTCAAATAATTTTCTTTTCTTTTAGGTGATGTGACCCCTGCTGTGATGAATCCTCTCTCGCAGTCACGCTCTGTTCCTTTGGCAGAACGAATCTGCCGGACCATATCAGACATGAATGCAGGTCGTGTGATGGTCACTCAGGAAACTTTAACAGAGCAGCTAGTGAAAAATTATCCAGGTAACTTGTTCGTTTCTACCTCCTTTAAAAAGTGGCTGTATCATCAAACTCCAGTATCTGATATTGGACAAGGGATCAGGGAATGTTCACATGCAAAGCTGGCAAGGGCAAGGAGTACAAGTTAAGAGGCAACTGGTAGAATACATGAATGTGCACACTTCTCATCCATCTGTGAGTGTCACTACACTGACTTGGATGCAATCCTTTCCATGGATTTTAATAATTCTGAGAATAAAAGGGAACTGACTGTAGTAGTGTGTTGAGAGTATGCCCTTTCTAGAGGATGGGAAAGCACAGAAGTGGTGTTTAGGTGCTAGGTATGGAACAGCATAAAATAGACTGTTAGATCACAGAGACTCTAAGTCCTCCTCTAAGTGACAGGAACACAGCTGACTTTAACTGCAAAGGGACTGGGTAGGAGTCTACATCTGGTGTTTGCTATCAAAAAATATAACCAGCCTCAAATTCAGGTTTGTTGGTCATATTCTAGCCCTTTCCTTCCTGAAAGTAAATTACTTACACTAAGCCATCTGTAGATCTTCACTTCTAGCCCAGTTGGTTGGAGCATGGTACAAATAACGCCAAGGTTTGTGTTTGATTTCCCATATGGGCCATTCACTTTAGAGTTGGAATTGATGATCCCTGTGGTCCCTTCCAACTTAGAATATTCTGTGATTCTGATGTGGTGGCAGCCTTAAACGTTTTCTGTACATCTGAAAAATATCCCATTTCCCTTAGATCTGCAATACCAAAGTGCTATTGTGTTTGAGACTTTGTGCAGGCTCATTCTGGTCCTCTCAGGAGGCTGCTTTGTCTGATACTGAGCTGCTTCTTTTGAGTCCTCTTAACCTTACAGCTCTGCAAATGTTTTAGGCTGATCTGGTAGGCATTTTAACCAGTGGGAAAATATTCATGCAGCCCCACAAACTGGCACAGAACCATGCCAGGAATGTGTTGCAGTCAGTAACCACAAGGTAGAATTCTTAGATCAGCCAGAAGTAGCATTCTCAAAGTTTGTAGGATCTTGAAGGTATTTCTTGCTGTGTTTTCACACAAGTTTTTAATTTTGTGGGCAGGAGGTCAGCTGTGACTAGACTAAGGACTCTGAGACTGTGACACCTGATGGAAAACAGTAGCTGAGACCAGTCTCAGTGAGGTAATAAAATTGACATCTGACCAAACTACACCAGAAACTTCAGAGTGATGAAGGCCCCTATAAAATAACATGCCAGAAGGGAAATGCTTTGAACAAGACGTTTGGTTTGTACCTGGCAGAAGGTGTCTCTCATGGATATCATATCCTGATAGACTCAAAGACAACACCCTTGCTTCCTCACAGTGGTGCTGCAGTGGCCTTTATCTAAATGCTTTGGGTATTTCATTTTCAGCTGATTTCAGGGCTGTTGTATGAGAGAGATGTTTTGGCCAGCACCCATTTTATTTGAAAACGTATTTCTGATTTGCAATATCTGTCTCTTTGTTGTAGGCATTGCAGTGCCCTCCCACAATATATTATATAATATCCTTGGCACTCTAATTAAGGAAAGAAAAATCTATCATACAGGAGCAGGATATTTCATTGTGACTCCCAACACATACTTTATCACAAATGATGCCACAGAAGACAACAGAAGGATCCTGTTGGAGGAAAGTTGTTGCTGTTCATCACCTTCCATCACTTACCTGGTAAACATTAAGCCCTGTGCAGACTTAGTGAAAAAAAACATTGCTACAGTATCCTGTTACAGATCCTGCCATTGTTTCCCTGACCAAAATATGCTCTGTGAACAAAGACATTGGCAGGTAATGAGCCATGAACCTAATGGAGAGAAAAAGAAAGGCTGCAGTGAATTGAAGCCTTCAAGTCGAACTCAAGGCATCTCTGCATCTGCTGAGAACCATTCCTGGGACACCACCAAATCCCTGACATCTGTGAAAGCAAAACTGAAAAGCAAAATATTTGGCCTTGGCCTTTTCTGGAGAAGTGGTTCTAAAAAAGAAAAACACAAGAAGGAGTACTCCACTTTTTCAGCCCAGTTTCCTCCCCAGGAGTGGCCAGTCAGGGATGAAGATGACTTAGACAATATTCCACGTGATATTGAACATGAAATCATCAAGCGTATTAATCCTACGCTTACAGTTGATAATTTGATTAAACACACAATATTAATGCAGAAGTTTGAGGAGCAGAAAAAATGTAAAGAGAAAAAAATCATCAGTAATGGTACCTCGGCTGAAGTGCCAACAGTCAGGCAAAACCATCTTTCAAAAGATCGTGTTCAAAAGGCACCAAGCAAAACAGCAAAACACACCAGGAAAACCAAATCAAAGAAAGAAAAGCAGATTAGCAGGAGCAGCAGGAAATCTCACATACAGAAGATAATATCCCAAAACGTGAAACTGGAAGAGAACTTATCACTCCCCATCAAAAACCAAGAGCCACCTGATGTAGCAGTGGAATCCCATGTGATATATAAGAAGCAGATTACCAATCCTTTTCAGGGTCTGCCATGGAGACCTCGCAGTTTTCCTGCAAGAGGGTACCAAGGTGTTGTTAACGGTCAGCTGAGGTGCCAGACTCGAAAGCGAGGAAGGGCTTTCCAAAGGCCACAGTCCTTGGTCTCCTCAGGCCCCTTTGGCTGTGAAACTGGATGGCTGGATGCAGAAAGTGAGGCTGACAAAGCAAAGCAAAACAACCCACTCCATGCTAATTGGTCTGGCCTTCAATTAAAGAAAGACAGGTTAAGTGAAAATGGTAGTTATCTACAAGGCAGTAATCTGCAAAGAGATCACAGAAGTAAATGCTTCCTGGAGAGTAATATTTCTGAAGAAAATGTCTATAAAAGAACAGCAGAAAACCCATCCCCTTACTCGTACACTGAAGATAATGGTGTGTGCAAAGAAGATGCAAAATTTCCATTCTGCCTGAAAGATGAGTACTGCAGATGCAAAGCTGACACTGCATGTGAGCTGTTAGATCGAACTGCCAGTGAATTTCAAAATGTCCATCTTTCAAATTACACGGCCAGCGTTAAACTGGCCCCAAAAAATGGTGTGAAATACAGACCAAAGACTGATAAAAAGAGTGAACTTCTATTTAACTATGACTGTGCCAGCCATCCTGGATCAATGGAGCTGGAAAGTGAAGGGTGTACTGATAACTTCCACCTTCTGTACCGGCGGGGACATGATGGTGACACCTGTAACTCGTCACATCTGGATGAGAATTCTGAATCCCCTGGCCATGCCTTTTCAGACACACAAGACTGGAGTACAGCTGTGTCCCTAAAAGCCTGTAAGGTTAGCACTCGCCCTGGCCAGCATGACACGACTGTAAATAAATGTGACTCTGGAGAGCACGGATATAAGGGAAGGGCCAGCCTTGCAGAACCAACAGATGGCTCAAAGGAGCATCCAAAACCAGACAGTGCAGAAGAAAGTTGGTTGTGCAGCCAGGTTCTTCTGAAAGGTCACAGAAAGGATGAAGAAACTGGCCTCACTGACTGTGGGGAGGGCTCAGCTGTGGCAGATTTCTGCCGGGCTGCCGAGGCTGACTCTGTTGCTGGCACTTTGCAGAACTTCTCCCATGAGGCAGGAGAAGGAGTAGCACACCGTGCTTTGGGCTCACAGAACAAACAAGTGAGAAACCCTCTAGGAAAAAAAGAGCAGGTTTTAAAGAATACATGCCCTGTGATCCCAGAACAGAAACACTCAGAAGGGACAGAAAACCACAGCATTACAGGAGACAGTGGAATTGACTCCCCAAGGTAAGAAAACATATGACACTAAGTTAGATGCTTTATCTTCAAGTTGAACATCAGATTTAGGCAGAAATGTTGTGGTAAATCACGAAACTCTTCCCCAACAATAAAATTATCTTTTTTTTTTTTTTTTTAACTTCAGTGTTATGATCCAGAAATACCCAAACTGTATAGTTCTGCAGTCTTTTTTACATGAGCATTCTACCTAAAATGCTGCTGTTTGTATTTTGCATTTGTTTTCATCAAGAAAACAGTATGAGCTGTGTCCTGCAGGTAGAGATGAGCAAGGACAGAAATGTTAAGAAACATGGTGTTTGATAAACTCAGTGTTAAAACACAATGTTTGATAAGCTCCAGTTAGCAGCCAGGTTCAGCTCACACAGATCTCCCCCACATAACATTAGATATTGTCATAGATTCTCCACTTGTATATAAACAATAGAGATCCAGTAGAAATTTAAAGCAGAAAATACCATTTGACTTGCCCACAACAGACAGGATGTGTACATCTCCTGAGCTTTCACATTGCCTGTAATTACACCTGAAAATCTCTTTATGGAAAATAAATTGTTATGAAACAATCTTTTACACAGTTGTACATTGAGACCTCTGTCACTTAAGTGGCAAGAACCTATGTTAAAAATCACATCAATTTTTTTTTTTTTTACAGCAACACATATTCTTCATATCTTAAATAAGTGGTATTTAACTGTAATTAAACCATTGGAGTCCTGATTAGATTTGTACTGTCACCTTGAGAAGTCAGTATATGAAGGAACAAACAATAAACTACAGTTTCTAAGGGAATTCTGCTAATTGTTCATCTTTCCCTTAAGCAGCTCTTGGCTGTGCACTCTTCCAAGCACGTTTCCTGTGTATTACCTGGACATGAAGACTTGCACTCTTTAGCAAAGTGTATTTCAGAGGGTCATTTTGACTGTTTGTGCTGATGCCATCTGTGGCACTAAAAGCTAAGCCAACTCCGTTCATTTTTGGAATGTGAAGTCTGACTTCTAATAATTATATTATTTTAGGTGGACTGAAAAGAAGATGAAGCTTCCTGCCAAATTCTAAAAGTATAAATAACAATGCAAGAAGGAGGGAAAGGACAATTTCAACAGAATTCCTTACTTCATCTAACTCTGGTCATGAATATTTGATTATTTTTTAAATAAGATGGGTAAACTTGCCCCTTGTAACAAGATAACCACACTGTAAATGCAGCCAGTCATATCAGTGAGGCAGTCTCTAAATCAAAGCTGTTAGTTAAAACTTTTGACAGTAGTGTTTGGAGAGGTCATGTGTATTTTGTTTGCCCCCTTTATTTAAAAATTATTTTCTGTGTGTCCCTGTGATAATAAAAGTGAGAACTGGCATTCTTCATTCAGATCACACCGGTGAGCTGGAAAAGGGTTTGTGTTGCTCTAATAGGGACTGCAGTTGGACAGGGCTGTAACTCTGGAAAGTATTTCCTACCTGTGTCACAGAAATTTGCGCATGCTTCACCTTCCCTGCTAGAAAACAAAGCAAATGAAATAGACACGCACCTGGTTACCACAAAAATTCCTTCAATCCCAAGGTTCTCTGTGACTTGCAGCACTCTCAGCTATCCTCAGCCTACTTGGTGTGTATCTGTCAAGCAGAATTTAGTCTTTGGAAATGAAAATGTGCTGGCGGCAGGGGAGGTGACAGGTGCCATTGCTGTGGGAGAGGCCCTGCTCTGATCCTGACCTTCCCATTCCATAAGGAATCGACATCCCGGGCAGCTGCCAGGATTGCCTCACACATTTTATTTCCTAGGGCTAATTTTGTCTTATTCCTCTTGATTTATCCCTGTAGCTACAAGCAGATTGTGCTGGGCCCACGCTGCAAATCGCCAGGGAAGGGCTTGCGTTTTTTAAATCTTCAGTCGTTTGGTCATACTGCCCTTTTCTACTTTAGACTTTTCATTACTGAACGCTTCTGTGCGGTAGTGGGGGAGGCTAAAGTCATCAGCTCGTAAAGCTACCGAAGATTTCTTCTGGGGAAGGCGCGCTGGTAACAGCAGCGGGCAGGGCCGGGACAGGGGCGGCGAGACCAGCCGAGCCCTCATGGCGACCCATCATGGCGGCCGCCCCCTCACAGCTTGCGGAGCGTGCTGGGATTTGCAGTCCTCACGTTATCTCCCGGGGCACGCCGGGAATTGTAGTCCCGCGCCGACGGCCGCTGGCGATTGGCTGATGGGCGGCGTGGCCCCGCCTCCACGCTGCCGGATACGCCGTCCATTGGCTGCCGGGCGCCTCGGCCGCTCGGAGCGTGACGCGCGGCGGGCGCGGGGCTGGTGCGGAGCGCGGCGTGGCGGAGCGGCGGCGGCGAGCGGAGATGCCCGAGGCCACCCGGTGCAGCAGCAGCAGCGGGGCCGAGTCGGGCTCCGACTGCTCGATGGACACCGAGGCGGTCCCGGAGAGCGGCCGCCGGCGGCACAAGGTACCAGGGAAGGGCTCCGGGTACGGCCTGGCCTCGCCCGCACGCTGGGGCTGGTGACCGGCGAGTCTGGCCTCGGATGGCGGCCGCCCGCGCCGCCAGTGGCGCGGGCCGGGCGAGGCGTGCGCGGCGCGGCCGCGGGGCGGCCCGGGCCGGGCGGCCACGTGCGCGGGCGGGCCGGGCCGCGGCCTCGCCGCGCGTCGGGGCGGCCCCGCCGGACGTGCCGGGCCTGCCGGGATCCCGGGAAACGCTTTGCTGGCACCCGGAGCGGGGGAGAGCTCCCAAAACGAAGGCCCCAGGTGTCTCGTGGTCGGTAACGTGTCTCCTGTGCGGCGGCGGCCGGCAGGGATCTGTTGCCTTGTGTCGGCCACCGCCCCCGTCAGTAACTAGAACGTGCTTCAAGCTTTAACTGTTCTGCGCCCTCTTCTCTGTTCCGTGCCGATTGGATCCACGAGCGTGTATTTTCATTTGCTCTGTGCCTTGCCAGAAGGAGAAAAAGGAGAAGAAATCTAAACGTCGGGACAAGTTTCAGAGGGGAAAGACTCAGTCAGATGAAAGCGAGGAATCGGATGAAGAGCGTTATGCCCCGAAACCCAAGAAATCAAAGAGCGTCAGTAAACAGAACGGTCACACGAAAGAGGAAAGCCTGGAGAAATCGAGATTGTCCTCCTTTAGCAGCAAATCCTCCCGCAGAAGCCGACAGAGTAGTTCCAGTGAAACGTCAAGTGAGAGCGAAAGCGAGAGCGAGCAGGATCAGGTAAGGCAAATAACTGGTTTTAGTTATAGAGATGTGTTATTAATTCCTGCATTGTAACACGGCCAGATTTAGAAGGGGTTGTATTTCTTTCTAATCAGTCGAAAGTGCTGTAAATTTTCAAGATTTAAAGTTTTTGAATTGTGGTAGTGTTGGATTAGTGCATCATGGTTTCCTCACTTCAGCAGTCTGGTGCTGTGGTAGCTGTTGCTGGACAGACAGGTTGTACTGAGGTGGAACTTTAATATGATTCAGCACCACGAGGTGTATGTGAATTTTGGGGTTGTTCTGTAGAGAGCCAGGAGCTGGACTTGGTGATCCTTGTGCATCCTTTCTAGCTCACGATATTCTAGGATTCTAATTAAGAGTTTTCAGTTTTGGTTTGAGTGTTTTGCATTTACTGTGCTGTTAGCTGTGAAACAGCCTTAACCTACAGATCACTTCTCCTAACTTTGTCCAACTTTGGAATATGATTGTAAAACAAAGAAGGCTCTTTAGCTGTAGCTGTGACACTGGCACTGGAGAATGACACCAGTGGCTATGCTGGATTTACTTGAATTTACTGACAGTTGTGTGATATTCACGAGGAATCTTACCTGATTTACTGTTTACCTAACAGGAGTTGACTGGAGAACAGAAAGAGGGTGCTTTCTCCAATTTTTCCATTTCCAAAGAAACTGTCCAGCTTCTTCAAGGTAAGCTTCTTGGCAAGGTGTGACCATAGAATGTCAGTGATCTCTGTCGTGTTTTTATGCACCCTGGATCAAGGCATAAGCTTTGAGATGTGCTCTGCTTGTGCCTATACAAGCATGGCTGCTGTGCAGAAGACATCAATTACCTGCTCTAAATACACCTTTGAACACAGATTTTCCTGTTTGCAGTAAAATTCTAAATGACATGAGCCAAAGAAAAATATTGATGTGTGATAAAATTTCAATTAAAGGTTATTTTGGTGTGAATAAAAGAAAACCAATTATATTTAGTATCTTTGACATTCAAATGATTTAGTATCATTTGACATTTATATGTGAATTAGTATGAATTAAAAGAAGAACAGAAGGGGCTTTGAGATATGTATTATTTGAAAGGAGGAGATTTTCACACATATTTGAGGAGTGTTGCATTAATAAAGGCACAGTACCGAGAGTCTTTCATAAGGGCTAATAACTTCCTCTGTCCTAGCTAGCTGCCACCCACTGTGTCTGGTGGTGTGAAGTGGGAGAATAAAATGGACAGTCCCAGGGCAGTCCTTGCAGATGACTCATCTGATCAAATAAATCAATGGAGGTGATGATACAGTTCTGTTGGTAGAAGTTCTTGGAATAATTTCCACGTAAAAGTATGAAAGAACACTTGTAAAATGACCGTAATTAAGGAGATCTCTTGAAATTGTCACAGCTCGAGGAGTGACATACCTGTTCCCTGTGCAAGTGAAGACCTTCAACCCCGTGTATTCTGGCAAAGATGTCATTGCTCAAGCACGAACTGGAACAGGGAAAACATTCTCTTTTGCTATTCCCTTAATTGAAAAGCTTCAGGGAGAGTCACAGGAAAGAAGAAGAGGCCGTCCACCAAAGGTAACTGTGCCTGGATAGAATGGTAATTTTGCTTTATGTCTCAATGATTCAGGTTTTTCAGCTGCTGGAGAAACTCTTCAGGTCTGTGCCAGGGGTAAGCTAACCCACATTAAAGGTGATTTGAAAGCTGTGTTCACTGGGCTTTGTCTGCATCCTGTGCTGCCTCCCAGCCCCTGATGAAGCATGAAGAGCACGACAGCTCTATTTACTTGTCAGTTCCGTTTTCTGCCACAGGGAGACCAAAACTACAGGTGGTCAACGTGTCCCTATTTAATTTTGGCCAGTCACGTTACCACTTCAGGGCCAGTGGCTACTGGATGCTTGATTTTCTCCTAAATTGCGAACAGATTAGTTACTAATTGTAGCTTGACAGCTTGATAAAAGCTGTCTACTCAAACATGTTTCTTTCTAAAACATGTAAACAGTGGGAGGTTTTAAAAATAGATTTCATTTTCACTAGGAACACCACCAAATGTTGAAGCTTCTGCTCCAGAGAATGCAGATTCATTATGAGCTGTGATCATTCTGCTAAGGCACACCATGTGTGGTTTTCCACTGAATTCTTACCGTGCCTCGAAAAAAAAATAGATAGGCCAAAGCTGAGCGTGTCCTCATTAATAATTTTTGTCAGTTTGTTTCATCTTGTCAGCCATCTCACTGATTACCTGAAGTGCCTTCCAAGACTAGTACTAGCAGTTTTGTGTGCATCTGCCCATCACATTGCTTGGCTGAGTGAGAGTGCTGTCTCTAGATTTGGCACAGCCTTTTGGAGAAGGAAGCGCTTTCTTCAAGGGAGCTGTAAGCCTTATAAAAGATTCCAGACCTCACTCTACCATAATACAGTGCTGTGTGCTTTTTGGTAATAGGTTTTAATGTTGAAAGAGGTGACAGGACAAGGATATTAAGGTTCCTTTTGTGAAGTGACTGACTGCCAGGTTGGAGAGCAGCAATCACGTTTCAAACGCAATTAGTTAACCTGCCTGCAGGGAGGGCTGCATGTTGGGAAGAGAGGATGGTTCCTTGATTGCCTCTGCAGGGATATGGATTAGCACAGTGGCTCTGCAGACTGAACATATGTTTCCCTGAGCCACAGGGAAGCTGAGAGACAGCTGACAGCTCTTTCTTACACCTTCTCACAGGACTGTGAAGCAGTATTGAGCAGGTGCAAAAGCCTTTTGTTACCCATCCTTCAGTCTTGTATTCAAACAGCGTATGTGCATGTAGAAGACAACTTGTAGCTGCTCTGTTCAGGAGCTAAAGTTAAATAAGATTTAAGTCTC